TTCTTGTGAAACCATTCCGGGAAGCATTATTCAGAGCATCTCGGAATTGTCTTCTGATTTCGTTGAAGAAAATGGAGATCACGTTCCAATCTTCAAGACCGTGGCTCGGGCATCTCATTAAAAGCTCCTTATAGCGCTCCCATGCCTCGGTTAGACTCTCGTCTTCAGCTTGTTTAAAAGTGACAATTTCCTCTTGCCTCTTCATTGCCTTGGCAGGAGGAAAGTACTTATCCAAAAAGGTCTTCTCAAGCTGACCCCATGTTGTGATGGAACGGGGTGTCAAGTTCTGGAACTAGTGTGATGCATTCCCTAGCAGAGAAAATGAGAACATCCGAAGACGGATGGCATCATCAGACACAGCCGGGCTCTTCATTGTGTCACAAATGCTTGCAAACCGTCGAAGATGCTCATGAGGATCCTCAGTGCTTGCCCCGGAGAAGGTATACCCATTGGTGATCATATTGATGAAGGCTGGGGTAATCTCCATGTTTGCATCCCCAGCCGGAATGACAACACATGAAGCTCGGGCTCCAGTCCTCCGATTCAGACGAGCCCTGATCGAACGATCCTGTTCTGCCATGATGTCTGGCTCGATGATGCGCGGTGGTGGTGTCGGTGGTGTCGGGATGAAAGGTGGTGAAACCTGCCTTCTCGGCTGACGATTCTGAGTTAGGGAAGGCCTAGGAGTTGTGGATGTGGTAGGCTGCTTCCCTAACTTGACCTGCTTCTTGTTCTGTCGGCAGGTCCTCTCTATCTCTTGATCAAGTGGCAGTAAATTGCCAGTCGTCCTCCTTGGCATGCACAAGGAGGATAAACCTGAAAATTTCACCTGCACACTAACACCCAGATCAAAATAGTTCACTCACAAAAATCAATAAAAAAAACAAGGTATGGCAGTCCCCGGCAACGGCGCCAAAAACTTGATAGGGCAAAAGCGTATATGCCTTAATCCTATCTTGTAGTAAACCGGAAAGTCCGGGTATCGTCTCTCAGGGACTGGTACAACCTTATATTCTATCAATTCTGTGGAGCAAACTATAGGGGAAAATGATTTGAGTGATGAAACTATTATCTAATGGCAAAATAATTAAACTAATTAAGCAAAGTAAATTGGTCGGGAGAAATTCAATGGGAGAAGCTCTGGGAGAAACACCGGGATTCACTACCTATCCTATCCAGATTAATTCACATATTCCAATCAATTTAATCCATATCTCTAAAGCCAGGATATCACTACTGTGCTACCTATCCCTGTCGGGAATTACTACGTACTAAATAATTTAATCAAATCCTACTGTTGTAGCTCAATGACTTAATTATTTAGCCTGAAGATCGATATCCTATTCAAGACCACATAGCATCTTATTTAATCCACTGTCGCTTCGATAAGTTACTATGTCACATGAAATAGGTTCAGTTATTAGGGTTTCACTGTCGCTAATAACCTAATTAACTACGATTCATTGTATTGGTGGCCAGTCAACACAAAGCATTAAGCAATTTCATGCAATAGAGATTGGAAGAAAAGAATCATGAATCAATCTATCAAATCAAGAAATAGCTACATCCTATGGTGTTTCCCCCAGAAATTGGGGTTTAGTTCATAACGAAATTAAGATAAAACAATGGGGTTTTGTTCATCATGTTCTAAATCAACAATAAACAAATAATTCGGACTAGAAAAAATCAAATCAAACCACTTGTTCTTGTTGAAATAAGCTCACACTGCCCGGAGAAGTCGATCGTTAATCGCCAATCGCCTGTTGTCGTGCTGCCTGTTCCCTTTGCTTTTTCTCCCAAAAAAAATTAATTGCCCGAGACTACTCTCTTTTCCCCAGCTTTTCGTGTCCCCCCCAAATTAGCTGCCGAGAGTCCTCCTTCCCTTTCTATCTTTTTTTTTTCAATTCCCGGTCCCAGTATCATTCCCTTCCTTTTCTCCTTGTCCCGCCGCCCAGCCTTGTCCCAGTAAATCAAAAGAATGGCCCTCTACCTTTAAATTTCCGTCCCAGAGCCCAAATCCAATTCCATGCCGCCCATTCCAATTCTGTCCGGCCCAACATCGCATCCTCCAGCCAAGTCCTCTGGGCCTTTAGCCCAAGTGAGTAGTCCACCAGTAATTCGAGCCCGATTTATTGCTTGTGCACTCGCTCCTTTATCGTGCTTTCTCCACCTGTAATACATCAAACTCATGGCACTAGGCAGTAATGGTTTTTCAACCATTCTCGGGTTAGGGAGCCCTAAAATAGCACGAATTGGCTTAAACATATCATGAGATAATCATATAAAGTCCAAGAATTCCATATGTTAAAGCCGATTATCAGTAGCCTTGGTGACCGAGGAACCCGTTGGACTTTATGGCGAGTGGATGATAGAAAAACGGAAGCCACGAACCAAGAAACAAAACGTGGTCTCTAGCTAGACGGGGACCAGCCATGACACAAAGTTAAGGCAGGAGAAAAGCAAGGCCTCCGGCTCTCAGTTTGATGTGCTATACAAAAAAGACACTACCCTTGCGAAGAAAGATGTGGAGAAGAGGGAGATACTGGTGGGGGAAAACACGTAGAGGTGAGACCGAAAGGCAAAACCCAAGCATAACGTACTGAGATCCCTATGAAGCCAACATATGGCATAATTAAAGAGACTACTAAGACCTTTAATGGGTTGAACATTGACAAAGAAGTAATGAAGAAAAAAAGGGAAGGAAACTATCATTTTGAATACTTCTCCCATGACGACGGATGCCCATGAGTCATGACGTTGATAACATGCATGGCATGGGGAGTCTCCCATCCCAAGCTGTTGAGCGATCGGCATCTTCAAAGAAGGACGTGCAAAGCATGTAATCAACCAAAGCCGCCCGACATAAGGACAGACAAGCTCCATATGAATGAAGGCACGGGGAAAGAGATTATAGCGAACAACCAGCCGCACGTGATTAACATGGAAAGCTCGATGGTAAGCCTTGAATTCGAGGCTGCTACTGTCTAAACCTTCCAGTTTTCGTTGAGTTCCCTCTTTCCATCGCCATCCATGGTTAAGATTTTTACTTGGAATTGTAGAGGGGCAGGAAGCAATCGCTTCTTGAGAGTTTTTAAGGAATACAGGAGATGGTACTTTCCGGGTATTGTTGTTTCAGTGGAACCAAGAATCAGCGGTAATCGTGCAGTTGAAGTTGTCGAAAGGCTATGATATGATAAGTATCTCATAGTTGATGCAATAGGGTTTGCATGGGGGCATCTGGCTTGCCTGGGACTCTGGATTGGTCACTATTACATAATTTGACAAATAATCACAGTTTCTTCACGTCCAAGTCCAGTTGGGGTTGCAAAGTTGGTTTCTCACAGCGGTATACGCTAACCCGACCCTGATACAACATCGGGAATTGTGGACTTCGATTCGTGATATCTCAAAGGGTATGGAGGCGTCGAGGCTCCTAGGGGGTGATTTCAATTCCTTCCTACAACCGAGTGACAAGTTTGGGGGAGCCGCTTTTGATGTGAGTTGAGCTAGAGAGTTCCAGGAATGTGTGCTTGATGCTGGTCTGGTGGATCTTGGGTTTACGGGACCGCCTTTTACCTGGTTCCGGGAAGGGGTGAAGGAGCGCCTTGAGAGAGGGCTTTCTAACTCAGTCTGGACAACGGCGTTCCCGGACACCAGGGTTTGCTACCTCCCTTGAGTTTGGAGTGACCACTGACCTCTCTTATTGAAGTTGTGTCCGAATCGTCAGCCTGCAGGACCGAAACCATTTAAGTTTCTAGTTTCCTGGATGATGCATGAGGACTTTGCGAATATGATTACCTGCTCTTGGGGGCGAGGAGGGGACTTATTGCCTCTATAATGGAGGTCACGACTGAAGCTAGAGCCTGGAATGTCAATGTGTTCGGACATATTCTAAAGAAGAAGAGCTCATTGTTGGCCAAAATCGAGCGTATCGAACAACAAGCTGGGGGGACTCGGATGATTTGAGACTTAGGCAGGCTCGAGAGGAGCTGGAGGACATACTGTTACAGGAAGAGCTTCTATGGTGTCAAAATCCATCTTCACTAAACAAATTCTGTCTATTATGACCAGACAATTTTGTCATATTAGATACTCATTTTGTCATATTAGGTATAATATGACAAAAATTGTTGTCCAACAGTTTGTCATTTTATCGTCGTCAAGATGGGTCATATGTGACAAAAATTTAAAACAAAGTTGTCACATTTGCTTTCAATATAGCTGAGGTTCTGGGTAGTCTATTGTGACAAAGAGACGATATATTTTGTCATAATTGGCTTATTATGACAGAATTATTCGTCAAATTACACCATTATATTTTGACATCACATAATTGTGACGAACAAATTTTGTCATAAATGCATGGTGTGATGAATATATTTTGTCACAACTGCATTGTATGACAAATATATTTTGTCATAACTGTATATTAGGACAAACGTATTTTGTCATAACTGCATATTGTGATCAATATTATTTATTCGTCAATCTATTGAATAACATATAGTTGAAAAAATTAATATTCTTGTAGCATGAAACTCCGGTCAAACAAATACTAGTTACACATCTAACTATTTTTGGTGTCCTAAACAAACTAATCTAGGTATTTTGAATCCCTCGTCGACGCTGGCCTACTGTTTTCACTGCTGTCGCCGCCGCTTATATGTTCATACAATCTGTAGATAAAACCTACATCAAATTGAAAGGATTATTAACCCCAAAACCTATAGGTTTACTTCCTCATCTCAACTCTCAAGCATATAAAGTGGAATGAGCAGCAGTAGGGGGACCTCCCCTACCGCCAGAAAGCACAAAGCACACGCATAGACAACATTTGGCTCTTAAAATAAAAATTAGTGTACTGCCAAGAAGTAAAACATCTATAAAACTCTAGAGAAAACCAAAAAATTAATGCAATCAAGTTTCATAACGTGTTCTATTTCTAAGGAATTAATTTGCAGTAAAGAAAATACAAGTTCTCTTCCATATTCTGTTTGCAAGGGAACGGGTCAACCAAGTTCTAAAGCTTTTCCGATATATTTTACAAACATATATAACTAAGCAAATTAGGGCTCCTTTATGTAAATACAACAACCAGTAGAGTATCATACTTAGGGCAAAGTTTGATGACCTTAAATGTGAAAGAGTGTGTTATTACCTGCTGTCCTGCTCCAAGTAGTCACCAGTTGGGTTACCCCATTGATTTCTCCCACTTCCATTGTCTTAATCTTCAGAATGATTTAGTATTATTTTCCTGCTTGGTGGGTAGGATTCACCTAGACTATCTTCACATAGAACGATAAAAACCACATATAAAATCAAACAATGAATCTAGAGCAGAACAAAATACCCATATCTAAAGCATGACCATGAGATGCAAACCACATGCCAGAGCAATCTAAAAAAAGAACACGGCCCCCCTTAAAACACCGAATCCAACCAATCACTACCCTTGTGTTCTTCAATGAAACAATCAATCTCTTTCCTAAGAATCAAATTCATCTCAACATGATGTCTAACTCATTCATGACCCGCAATTTCCTTCACGGTAGTTCTCTTCCGATCATTCAATAGGCCAATTTGAACATCAAATTCAAAGAGCTTACCTTCCTCTGCTATTTTATCCAAGGCGGCCACCTTGTGGGAGGAAGGGCAGTGGGGAATCGGTTGATTGCTCATTTAGGTAAAAGGGTTTGAGATGGAGAATCGGTACGCCCTTCTTTCTCTTATTTCCCTTTATTCCCTTTCGTTGGCGAACATGCGACATGGAGATGCAGCGGTGACCTAGCAGTATATGACGTAGGGACAACCTAGTGAGAAAGCTGCAGCGGTAGAGGCACAACGGGGGCCTTGCGGTGTCGCGGCGTGGTTGGACGATGGTGGAGGCAAGCTGTAATGGTTGGGATGGTTTAGATCTCTGGATTTTGTGAAAGATATGGAACGAGAAACCAATATTTCCATCAAATCATTCCTAACTAAACAGAATCATATCACCCAAAGCTCCATTCCGGAAAGTAGGAAAATCAAATAACAAAAACGGACCTGCCAGAGTACCGCCACCGCTCGCGCCACCATCGTCGTAGCTCAGCCACCGCCGATCGTTGCCACCTGGCCATCGTAGATCCGACCAGCATCACTGCTTTCACCACCGTATCACCAGACTACAGTCGTGATTTCCTCGTCATCCAACCTTTTTTCCGCTTTGCCACCATCACCACAGCCGCCATCGTTAAAACGCGCCTCCACCTTCCGCGGCATTTCGCCGTTTGTCTCCACATCGCTTACTCTCGCCGCCGCTGCATCGTACCGCCGTCCACAGGCTATCTCCACATCATCACCCACTGACCGTCGCAGCCTCCAACTCGTGCCGTCGATCTCCGCCGTTATCGTTCGGTCGATTCATCATGAGAAAAAGAGAAGAAAGAAAGGCAACAAGGTCGAGACAGGGAAAAGAAGATGGAGGTATCACTGGCACTGCGTCGGATTTGATAGGTAAGTAGAGTTTTAATCTCTTAATTTCTAAAATTACCGGATTAGCCTCAAAACCCTAGGGTATTTACAAAATAATCGTGGTAAAATTCTTCATTTGGTTCTTCATGTTAATATATCTTTTTTTTACAGAACTCACGTTACTATGTCTTGAATGAAAGAGGAATTGCAAGATGACTTATTTCTAGGTTTTATATTTTTAATGAATGAAAAATAAAACCAACTCCCAAAAGTTAAAGGGTGGGCTGCCGGGGACTTAAATTTTTTCAATAGTAAATTTTTTTTAGAGAGAGCGGCAATTTGGGCTTTCTTTCAGGTTAATGACATAAATATTGTCTTTTTAAAAAAATTTATCACCAATATGGCGGTTTAAAAACTATTGACATGTATATTGTGTTTTTTATAGGGTAATAGCGGGCCCGCCCGAGATTCGGGCCCTGGCGCATTTTGAAATTTTTTCAACGAGTTAAAGGCGCTAGCGCCTGTAACTCAGGCGGCCTCACATCCCACTTTTCTTATCTTCTTCTCCACCACTCACCTATCGCCTGAGAGAAAGAAAGAAAAACCTAGCAGCAGCATCGAGCTTCGTCCCCAACCCACGCCCAGTCTGAGACGGTAGTGCCAACGAAACATATAGCCCCATCTCAGAATGAGGCAGTCGCGCCTGCTTCCCGACGAAGGCGCCTTGTCCAGAACGAGCCCACCATCTCCTTTCTTCTTCCCTCAAAGCAGATTTGGTTTTTTGAGAAGATGTCCGACGAAGAGGAGCAAATCGTCGGCGCTGGCAGGAGAAGAGGCAGAGGGCGGCGAGGTCGTGGCTGCGACGACCGCTACCGAGGTGAGGTTTTCGTCGACGGTGGCCGGATTCTCGTCGGCGGCGAGTTTTGTTTTTTTAATATGAGTTTTTTTATGTTCTGATTAATTGTTTTTTTTTTTCAGTTCCTAGGCTTATGGATAGTTATTCCATGAGACCACCACCTGCGACAATTGATACAGCTCCGATGGATCCGATACTTCTTTGGGGGCATGGTCACCATTGTATTGACTCAGTTTGGGCAAACGTGGTAAGTTTTCAAACTATTTCTATAGTTTTTTTATTAGCTGAACTGAACAGAAATTAGAATAGAATAGAATTACGAATGAAATACAGGTTAAAATTAGAATAAGTTTAGATTAGATATATAAATATAAATATTAAGTGAACTGAATTTAGAAGTACGCATGAAATTGAATTAATATAAGTTTTGTGACTATAGGCTGGTGACCGAACTTACCACATTCGAGGTACGAGCAATTTAGTCAGATACCATCCACTTTATCAGCCGTATCACTATTCAAAAAAAAATGTTGTATCTCGTCGATGTAGGCTTGTTTACGAAACTGCCATTGGTCCCTCTTACCGGTGATATGGGTTTGATTACTGCACTCGTAGAGCATTGGCGACCCGAGACATCGACCTTCCACATGCTGTTCGGTGAGGTGACGATCACTTTAGAGGACGTTACGACACTGACCGGTCTAGCAATCGACGGTGGTGTCGTCGTAGTAGACATACCATACGAGGACTGGTCGGTTATGTGTCTTCGACTGTTAGGACGGGATCCTACTGATCTTGGAGGCGGCGTCATTAGGATTGCTTGGCTCAGGGAAACTTTCGATCAGCTACTGCCATCGGCATCACCAGAGACTATAGGGAAGTTTGCACGACCTTATGCTCTGTCTCTGATGGGAGGTGTTTTGTTCCCCAATCGGAGGCGGATAAATGGCATCAGGTTGTGATACTATACCAGATTTGGTCCCAGACGAGTGGGAGCGTCTAGATGGTGATTAGAATTTTCAGACATTGATGTGGACTTATGAGCATCAGCTTCGAGCGAGAGCATTTGGTGCGCCAAATGAGCAGATTCAGCCTCAGGTGGATGAGATGTTCGGTACACAGGATCAGGATGATATAGTGGAGGGAGATCAGCCCCATCACGATGAAGGTAGGCCTCCACGAATCAGGGGGCCAGCGAAGTATGGTACTAGCGGCCATCTAGCAGATCAGCGTAGTGGTCGTCATGATGGTCGTCGTGGTGGTTGTTACTGAGACTATTATAATTATTGATATTTTAAATTTTTGTACTTGTTTGGGATATTTATGTGGACTATTATGTGGAATATTTTTAATTTTATGTGGAGTAATTCGTGTTAGGGTTATTGTCTAAATGAAAACTTTAAATATAAAACCAACAAACAACAACTTCAAACAATAACAACTTCTGCAAGGCAAATCGAAAGAAAAACAACAACTACATTAGATAAACGTTTGACCAAACTACATACCACCTCTATTACCTCTACTTCCTCTTCTACCACCTCTCGCACTTCGTTGGCCACCACTCCCTGTCCGGTTGCTCCCACTCCCACTTGCTTGGCCACCACTGGTTGATGCATTATGTCCCGCTTGGTTACCGTTGCCACACACTTGGTGTGATGCACCCTCCCTTGGCCAATCCATCTCGTTGTAAATTCTTGTTGATCTTGGCCTCCCCGGCTTCCTAATCATGTGCAGATTGGGATGGAGAGTAGGGTCATTATGCTTCTTCGAACCCTTAGGTTCACCAAGAGGTGTGAAACTTGCCCCTTAACAAGCCAACAGTGTTTCAAGCTTGTAGACGTCGTTTACAAACCTATACGGATTAGCCCCCATCCGGTTGTAAGCTGCAATAGCATGAGAGCAAGGAATTTTATTTCCTTGAAATTTCCCACAAGTGCAAAATCCCGCCCAGTTGTTGTCGTCGAAGTGCGTTGTGAGTGTGTTTGAACCCGTCATGTTGAAATTGTTGGGAGGAGTCTGAACTACATAGATGCCTTGACGTCAACCAACCCCCGTCACGGAATGTCCAGTTGCCTTTTGTGACCATGGCTTCATCTTCTCTTTGCACTTGATGGTGTACTGTGAACGACCACTTCTAATTTTTGCTTCTATCTACAACCTCATCTTATCGAATTTCTCCAACAATCGCCAATAGGTATGTTTCACAAGAGAAGCTATAGGAAGTGAACAAATACCTTTCAAAACACCACTGATGCTCACTGCCATGTTGGATGTCATGATAGACCAACGACGCCCACCATTGTAGTTATCATGTGCTAAGCTCCAACGAATCAGCGGCCACCTTCTTAAATTGCTCAACGTGACGATCAAACTTCTCCAAGCGTTTTTCTCCGGCTAACAAAATAAAAAACCACACGAGTTAGATAAATTCATGACAAAATAACATGAAAATAAATAATACATTAAAATAAATAACAAAATTAAATGAAGAAGGCTTACCGACTCGAAATCCTGCTTTTAGTCATTTGCAAATTGCTTGCATAGTGTCGCATGCACCACCTCCACTCTCAACCTCTTCTGATGTTATTTATGGCTTCATAGACTCCCGCATGTCTATCTGAGATGATGCATACATCATTTCGATCGGGCAAAGCTTGAATGTGACTTATGAACCATGGCCAACTATCAGTATTCTCGCTCTCCACTATGGCCAATGCAATTGAAAAAATCTTCTTCCGGCCATCAAATGATCTCGCCATGAGCAGCACTCCTTTATACTTTCCAGTAAGAAATGTTCCATCAACAACTATGACTCCTGGACAATTCTTGAATCCAACTATACAAGGTCCATAAGCCCAGAATACTCGATGAAATATCGAATGATCTGGTTGAGCTGAAGGAACTATTACCCAATCAATCACCGATGTTGGCATTTTTCTCTTTACCACCCGCAAGAATGTTTGCAAATAATCGTAGGATTCTTCCCAATTCCCATGCAACTTCTCCTATGCTCTTTGTTTCCCACACCAAGCCTTTTTGTAAGTAACTTGCATATTGAACTTATCTTTCAACTCGGCCTGCATAGTTAGAACACTCAGATTTGGTTGGCACGTACCAAATGTTTCACGGACTCGAATATAACGTCTCCATCAAGATGGAGATGATCTGTCGGTTGAGTTGTACTGCTACAAGAATGCACCAACTCACCTTTCTCACAGTCCATTATCTTCCCACATCTCGACATCCAAACCGCACCATCCAAGGACAATTGTCATCCTTGTGCTTCAAACATCTGATCTTCTAGATTGAAGGTGACGACTCCACCACGTTATACTGAAAGTTGCGTTGTAGTGCGTAGTGTTTAATCGCCACATGTGCAGCTTGTTTCGAGTGAAATATCTGGCCCTTGTACAATTCTCCATCAAAACCAGGAACAATAGCTATTGGAATTACGCCATATGAATTAGGATATGATAATTTGTCGTCCTCTTCATTACCCTGCAAGTGAAAATATGGAGGACAATTAGGCTATTCTCCTTCATCCTCCTCCTCCTCCTCCTCATCATCATCATCTTCCTCTTCTCCGTCATCACTGTCATCATAGTCATGATCGGATGGCACGCTTCATGTGTCATCTTCCTCCTCTCCACCCCAATCCTCACTGAGCTCAGCATGTATCTCAGCACCCAAACAATAAGGGTTTTCTGCCATCAAATTCCAAAGCACATTCAAGCTATCATCATCCACAATAGGCATCGCATAATGAAATAAAACACCATTCTGCCATTCTGGAAGACATAAACTTGTAATCACAACACTATCTTGTATTGCTTTGTCTTTACGCCGTATTCTCTGAATTAGATAATCACAAAGTTTCTAATAGTCCACCCTGGATGGAACAGTCAACTGAAAACTTCTACCACCAATGAAATGGATGCCCAAATTGTCCTCTACTTTCTCTGATTTCCACCGAACAGCTAGTTCAAAACTTCTAAAATCACTACATAAAAAACAAACTCACTAATTACTAACTAAAAAAAATCATTATAGCATTTGAAGAATATATTAAAAAAAATACGTCTCTTTCCTATTATTAGCCATCTTCCCAGCAACCAGACAGCAACCAAAGCTTCTCTCGTATAAAACTTCGTTGATTTTTTTGGT